GTGTGCTCAAAAGATTCTGCTCTGCGTGAAAGCTCTATTGAGTTCTTATGAGAGGGCATGCCTGCATATCTGTGTCCGAAATCCTGTGCTTCGTAGATAATTGTGGGGCATGTTTAATGCGGGGTCCCTTTGTGAGACTTTGGGCTGTGCAGTGAAAGTGAAATAATTAAATTGAATGTCCCAGGGTACTCATTTAGTTCACGTTTGCGAAGATTCTTTGAGTTTTCTGGCTGTTCTGTGTAAACAGAGAGCTACCCTGGAACATAGTCGGTGCTCCCCAAAGGGAAAGTTTGGTCATGCCATTCTGGAAAGGTTTTCTGCCATAGCTGTTCGTCTCACTGAGGAGCTTTGAAGGAGCTCTCAGGGTTTCGTAAAAATTGGTTGAAACCCACTGGATCAAAGAAGTAATCAGGGTTGATAGTCTGTCCATCACCTACCCATCACTGTGCTTGTCTTTTAAAAAAAAATTATTTATTTATTTAAAAAAAACACATATATAGTACATACATTGGTATTCCTATACACATAATCTGGTAGAGTCTTATTCAAATTTTATCCTTTATCCATTTATATATCCCTGCCCATCTTTCTTGAAATATTTTACCATCTTTCCCTTGCAAAATTACTGTTAATTTGTCCATTTCCGTGACTTCCAATAGTTTCATAGCTAATTCTTTTCTCTTAGGAATCTTTTCTTGTTTCCAATATTTAGCTATTAGAATTCTAGCCGCTGTGAGCATATATACTATTACATACAATTCATTCCCTTTATATTCATTGGGAATTATGTTTAACAAGTAAATCTCCGGACATAATTCTAAATTAACATGTAACACTTCTGCTGTTATCTTCCTTACAGTTTTCCAGTAGCTAGCAATTTTTTGCTAGGGTTTCATAAATATTGGTTGAAACCCACTGGATCAAAGAAGTAATCAGGGTTGATAGTCTGTCCATCACCTACCCGTCACTGAGCTTGTCTTGAGAGGGAATGGAAGCCTAGTCCTCAGACACTGGAATTGAAATTTTTAAATTCGATGGAAAATTGAGTTTTCTTCTGGTCGCACCCCTGGCAGAATATATCATAGCTGATCTCTTTGCACCTGAGGAATGTCCGGAAGTTATAGCTCTAGCATTTCTGTTTTGCTTTTACAAATATTGGTCAGGCTGGCTTGCTACAAGGCCCATATGCAGAATGTGTAAAATATCAAAGTAGAACATGTTGACAGATGTATTTGGGTTTAATAAATCCTGCTATTGGTGCCATTCTCAGGGTGGCTGATTCTTCTAGGCCTGCTGTGATGTGAGGGGCCTAGTCCAATGCTGGCCTGCCGATGACAAATCAGGGATCACAGAAGATAAAAATGACTAATGCCTACTGAGGCCATTGGTCCATCTAACTCAGTACTTCTTACTCTTAGTAGTGTGATTAGTAGTAGATTAGACTGTCAAGCTAGGAGAGTGGTGTTCAGTTCCTCTCTTGCTTGGTGATCTTGGGCCAGCTGTTTATTTCTAGCCTAATCTACCTCATGGAATTGTTATGAACACAAAATGGAGGAGGGAAGAAGAAGAAGAGATTGGATTTATACCCCTCCCTTCACTTGGAGTCTCAGAGCGGCTTACAAACTCCTCTCCCTTCCCCTCCCCACAACAGACACCCTGTGAGGTGGGTGGGGCTGAGAGAGCTCTGACACAAACTGCTCTTTTTCAAGGACAGCTGTGCCAGAGCTTGTGACTGACCCAAGGTCACATCAGCAGCTGCAAGTGGAGGAGTGGGGAATCAAACCTGGTTCTCCCAGATTAGAGTCCGCACACTTAACCACTACACCAAGCTGGCTCTCCAGTTATGGTACCCTGAGCTTTTTAGTGGAAGGGTGGGAGGAAAAGTCATTGACATTTGTAGAGAGCTCAGCAGATGTTTGTTTGGCAGCACGGTCGCTCATAGTTGGAGAGTATCCATCCATGCCTCTTATCTTTTTCTCCTGATCAGGCTTTCCTGAAGAGATGACAAACATGAAAGACGAGGAAGAATTGTGGGATCATCAGGCTGTGGAGGGAAACAAAGTCTTTCCAGCTACCTGCTCAGGTAAGGAAATTCTCTGAGTAAACAAGGAGATAAGGATCAGAGGTATGCTACCTCCTTGGCTTGAGTGCCTACCCCCTTCCCGGAATATCCAAATGTATACAAAATCTGATGGGTGGATACCATATAGGTTAAAACATAAGAATGCTCTGGATTATATACATATGTCAAATTTTTGTTATTGCAGGACATGAATTGTTTCTGATTTTGGACCTAGACAGGGATTCAGCTGCCTCTAGTAGTGATTCCTGTCCTGCCTCAAAGTTCTCTTTTGTACAGATCTGAGGAAGATTTGAAACAAGTATCTAATCCAGATTCTACATTCTGTCTGATGACGTCTGTTTCTTTTCTCCTTGGGCAGGATTTCCAGGTGTCAAACCAGACTTGGTCCCCCAACACGAACAAGGGGAAAGGCCTTGGATTCAAGAGCAAGAGATCTCTGGGGAAAATGAGGCTCCAGAGCATGCCTCAGGTGAGATCTAGTGTGGTGTAGTAGTTAAAGTGGTGTACTTCAACCAGAGGCAGACAGGTTAAAATGGCACCAATAGCACCTATCAGTTTTCCGACCCAGCTGCAAAAGAGAGGAGATGCTGGGGAAAGAAGGCCATTTCCTCCTTTCCTCTGTATTGTTTCCACAATCAGAAATCTGTCCACCATCACCCCCAGGTGTCTGAAGCTCCAGCAGAGAAAACAGACAAAATATCTGTAGGCCCCTATATTCTTCCCCTGATTAACAGGGGAGAGGCCGTGGCTCAATGGTGGTGCATTATCTTTGCTTGCAGAAGTCAGGGCCAGTCCCCAGCATCTCCAGTGAAAAGCATGCAGGAGTAGGTGACGAGAAAGACTGTGAGACCCTGGTGAGCTGCTACTGGGTCAGAGTAGACAATGCTGACCTCGATAGACCAATGGTCTAACTTCGTAGAAGGCAGCTTTGTGTGTTCAGAAACTTAACTGGAAAAGCAGATTTGATCAAGGGGACATGTGTAGGAGGCACAATCCTCCCTTCCACAATTTCACTCCATACCTTCACCCTGCAGGGTTTTGGGTTTTTTTAAGGGGGTCTAGGACTTCAAAACACACACTGATGGGAGGGGATCCATTCATGGGATTCCAGCATCTTGTGTTCATTTGTCCCTAAAGCAAGACTGTTTGGGTCATTGGCATTTGACTCTTCCTCTGACCCTTCTCTCTTGATCAGAGTTTCCTGTCGTGAAGGTGAAAGTGGAAGAAGAAGAGGAACCGCTGGTATCGGATGTCCAGGACTATGAGGAAGGTGAGGCTTACCTGGGAGAGGGGTGGGGTTTAACACCTTCAAACAGCGTCTTCTCTTACCGTTGAGGATCCAGTGCAGCCCCTGAGGCTGGCGCATTAAGACAGAACAAGAAACCCGTTGAGCATAAAGGCGTTAGCCCTATCAAAGAAATCGGGGGTTATTTTGACCCCAGAAGTCATGGGAAATAATTGGTTTACCCATTTGAAGCTTTCTGCAGACAGCAAACTCCTGTTATGTTTCCTCCCCAATGAACTGCAGTGCCCTGAAGTCCCCCTCTTCCCTCCCCACTGCGCCTTTCTTTTTTAAGTTTGAGGTTTATCAAAAGGGTAAGGGGGGGTCATTCTGGCTTGAAAGTGAAAGTACTATGCAATACTGAAAGTACTATGCATATTGAAAAATGATTTTAGCACTGTGTGTGTGTGTATGTATATATGTGTGTGTGTGTGTATGTGTATATATATATATATAATATATATAATTCATTTTTAAACAATCATTTACAACAATAAACATCACAAGCATTGAACAAGCAATAACAAGCAACAACAAGAGGATCAAGTTGGATTGTAAACTAATCATTTAACAGTAGAAACCATTCTGACACTCTCGAACCTTCATCAACCAATAAATAAGGGTAAGGAGTGCTGGTAACTGCACTGCCTTTGTCAATTCGTAGAACATGAGGACTAGATTAGAGCTAGATCTCAGATATAGAAGAATTCTGTGTGTGTTTCATGAAGGTTCGAGAGTGTCAGAATGGTTTCTACTGTTAAATGATTAGTTTACAATCCAACTTGATCCTCTTGCTGTTGCTTATTGCACCTATCATCTCAATTTTATAGGAAGGTGGAGCAAATAGTGAAAACTAAAATTTCTCTCCATAATTGGTATCTATAGAGATTTGTTGTGCAAAAATATCACACTTTCATCTTCAGGGTTTTACACCATTTTTGGAATTGGGGGTTGAAATTACTGTTTGCAACCTGAATTGTTGTTTCTATAGTAGGAGCAGATAAAAGCCCTATGTTTGTGCTCTGTCAAAGTTTCCCCTATGTCCATAGCCACATGGAAAAGCTCAAATTGATCTGTATTGCAATTCTGGAAAACTCTATCCCCCTGCAAGACAAGCCTGGGCATGCAGGCCTCCTCTTGAACCTCTTCACATTTTCCAGACTTGAAGGAGCCATTCAACCTGGAACTTTGGATGACCCCTAGCCAACTGTCCACTGAGCTGATTGTTTCCCTTAGTTGTGCTCTATCAAAGCTTCTCTTCTGTCCTACAGCCACATGGAAAAGCTCACATTGAACTGTATTGCGATTTTGGGAAATGGGGTCATTCTATCCCCCTGCAAGACAAGCCTGGCCATGTTTGCAGTCATTATCTGAACCACATTTTCTAAACCACCACCCCCACCCTGAGTGACCTTCTCAACTTTATATATTTGGGGAGGGGGGGAGGGGGTCATCGACAATATAAGGGAGTGTGAGATCCTTGCCTACCCACTGACATTTCTACCTTGGCACACCTGTAGTGTACTTCACTGCGGTTTTGCCTTGGCTTGAAATTCAAAACTCCTTTGAACAGCAATGGAAGAACTGTGGCAGCCCTTGGTCCTTCTCGGTCATTTGAACCAGAGGCTACTCGGCATGCCCTGGAAGAGCTTCAGAATATATTCCAGGAGGAGGAATCTGAGGAAGATTTCTTGCGTTTCCCAGAAGACAGCACAGGGGACGAAGCAAGTGATGGGGGGAGCTGGCACCGACCAGACGGCACCTCATCACAGGAATCATCCGAAGAAGAAAGCAGCCTCAGTGAGGATCCTGGAGGTATGTTACGAAGCTCTATTGGGGGGGGGGCGAGCCCAGCTTTGCTGATTGGGATATAAAGAGAAAGTCTCTGAGGAGTTTTCTTGCACCTCCCTCCAAATAGGCATTGCCAGGCTGATGGTATCTGGGTGCAGCTGTTAACAGCCTGCTTGTGGCTGAAGCCTTCTACTCTCTCTTCCCCCACCCATTTCCAGGCAGAAGCGGCAAAGAAGTATTGGGGGGGATTCAGCGGGACCAGACCATTCCCTTGGCTCATGTCAAAAGATGCTGCATGTTTTCAGGGCATCCTTAGTTGAATTTGCTGCTAAGAACATAAGAGACGCCAATGTTGGATCAGGCCAAAGGCCCATCCAGTCCAACACCCTGTGTCACACAGTGGCCAGAAATACCAGGTGCCATCAGGAGGTCCACCACTAGGGCCAGGATATTAGAAGCCCTCCCACTGTTGCTCCCCCCCCAAGCACCAAGATGACAGAGCATCACTTGCCCCAGAGCCCCTATCTATGCCTTGTGGCTAATAGCCACTGATGGACCTCTGCTCCATATGCTCATCTAATTCTGTCGAATTGCCTTACTTTCAGGGAGGGGGGAAAGGATAAACGCTATTGGCACTGCATAGTTTGGCATCCTTGTTTGGGAGTTCTTCTTCGCCAGTTTTCATTTTCGTGTTTTGCAGAAGGGAGGGAGACGGAGTACATCTCAAGAAACAGAAAAGAAACGTGGAAGAAGACGCCCTCTCCTTTTGTGAAAACGCCTCGTCACGATGTTACGCCCCAGCTTCCGGGGCTGGCTGCTCTCGCTGCGCAGCGATTGACCGTTCAGCTGAGATCAGGCCTTCAGCTTTTCCTGACCCCGGCTGTGATGAGCCACCTGCTACACTTCACCAACAAATTTGGAGGAGAGGTGTTTGGGCAACATTGGAGTCCCCTGTCGGAAGATGAACTGTGGGCATACCTAGGCCTACGCATTCTGGCGGGAGCTTTCAGGTCCGCAGGAGAGAATATGGAGGACCTCTGGTCTCCCGTGCACGGCAGGCCACACTTCAAGGCGACGATGTCGATTGCGGCTTTCAAAAAAATCAACAGGGTCCTTCGGTTCGATGACCGGCAGGAACGCAGGCGAATCGATAACAGTGACAAACTTGCTCCGGTCCGCGATTTCTTGGCCTTATTCAGAGATACCCTTGCAAAACCCTTCATCCCAGGTGACAGTGTTATGGTTGGTGAACAACTAGTGGCTTTCAGGGGAAGGTGCCCAATCATGCAGTACGTGCCATCTAAACCTGCAAAATATGGCATAAAATTCTGGATGTGCTGTGACTCCAGAACCAGTTATGTCCACAACGTGGACATCTATTCAGGGAGGGTAGAAGGTGCTCCAGCTGCAGAGAGTCTGGGACAAAGGGTGGTGTTGCAGCTCACGGAACATTTGCGTGGATCAGGGAGAAATGTCACCACAGGCGATTTCTTTACAAGCGCAGCGCTGGCAAGGGAGCTTGGAAAGAATGAGATGACTCTGGTGGGCACACTAGGAAAACGAAACCCAGAAATCCCACTGGAGTTTCTGCCCAACAAAAAGAGGACTGTCCTGAGTTCGATTTTTGGCTTCCAGGACGACTTAACTCTAGTCAGCTATGTGCCAAAGAAGGGGAAAGCGGCGATTTTGCTTTCATCGATGCACAATTCAGCCACGGTTTCAGGACCAAGATCAACGCCGGAAATAATAATGTACTATAATGAGACCAAGGGTGGAGTGGATACCTGTGATCAAATGATATCCACATTTAGTTCAAAACGCATGGTTCACCGATGGCCTATGGTGGTGTTCTCCAATATACTTGACATTGCCTGTCTTGATGCATATATTGTGTGGAAGATAAACAATCCAGGGTGGGGGCAGAAAAAATCAAGTCCAAGGCGTCTGTTCCTCATTGAACTAGGGCTTGAACTGATTAAGCCTTGGATTCAAGCAAGGAACATTGAACATTTGCCACTGGGGTCCAGACAGGCTGCCACTGAACTGGTGGGGGTTGCAACTTCTGAAAGGAAAAGGGGTAGATGTCACCTTTGTGACAGGAAAATGGACTGCAAGACCCAAAAGAAATGTATACAGTGTGCACGTTTTGTCTGCGCACAACATGCAAGTTTGCTGTGCAATTCGTGCAAGTAGGCACTTTGCGAGGGATAAAAGGGCTCATTTGTAAACGTTCCATTCAAACGGTACTGTATTTTACCTATTTAAAGACATTCTACCTGTGTCACCTGTTACTTCACTTTTTTGTTATCTGTTGTTCCACATTGCAGTATTATTATGTTAAGTTTCAGTATTGTAACAGTTAAAAATGGTTGCTTTCTTAAGAATAAATAGTTTTACAGATTCCCAACTGTGTCTTATGCTTTAAAAAATGGTGGCGTCAATTTGACCCTGTTTCCGTTTCCGTGGGGTTTTGATGTTTTCAGTGAGGGATATTTGTGACCCCGATTCCAAATTTTAATCTTTGTCCTACATTGGTGAAGAAAGTTATTCTTGAGGCCTGGTTTTTTTCTTAGTAGCTAATGCCATGAAAGAGAGAGCTATCAGGTTTCCATTATTTTTGCTGTAATATGGGGTCACTTTGACCCTATTCCAAAGTAGTGTAATCGTTTTTCCCCCTTAAAGGGGTCGATGCTGCAAATATGCATTTTCTTTACATTTACTTCATTGATACCCTGCCTTTCTCCCTGATGAGGACCCCAAGTGGCTTACAAAGAGCCAGTTTGGTGTAGTGGTTAGGAGCGCAGACTCTAATCTGGCAGAACCAGGTTTGATTCCCCACTCCACCACATGCAGCTACTCATGTGACCTTGGGTCAGTTACAGGTTCTCTCAGAGCTGTTCTCTCAAAGGCAGTTCTCGGGAGAGTTCTCTCAGTCCCACCTACCTCACAGGGTGTCTGTTGTGGGGAGGGGAGGGGAGGGGAAGGGAAAAGGAGATTGTAAGCCGCTCTGAGACTCCTTCAGTTAGTCAGTGGTGGGAGTATAAATCCAATCTCTTCTTCTTCTCCTTGTTCTCCTTTCCTCCATTTTGTCTTCACAGCAACCCTGTGAGGTAAGTTAGAGTAGGTGTGAGACTGGCTCAAGGCCACCCAGTGAGCTTCTGTTGTACAGTGGGGACTCAAACCACATCCTAGTCCATCACTCTAAACCCTGCACCACACTGGCTCTGTTTTTCCCCAGATAGTTCCAGGTGGGCAGCCATGTTGGTCCTCAGTAGTAGAGCTGTATTTGAGTCCAGGAGCACTTTAGAGATGAACAAGATTTCCAGAGTATAAAGTTTTGAGTTCTAGAGCTTCAAAAGATACAGTTTTTAACAGGGTTTCAACCTAGAGAAGAATATGGAGAAAATATTAGCCGCTTTAAAAAATAATTATTGAAATCTTTGTCTCCCATGTTGTCCTCCTGTTCCCCCCTTCCCTGTGCAGACATGTCTCCTACGATGTCTCAAAAATCAACGCGTCACTTTTCCATGTTAAAGGTAAAGGTAAAGGTTCCCTTGCTCGAAAGCCAGTCGAGTCCGACTCTAGGGTTGCGGTGCTCATCTCCGTTTCAAAGCCGAAGAGCTAGCGCTGTCTGAAGATGTTTCCGTGGTCATGTGGCCGGCATGACTAAACACCAAGGCACACGGAATGCTGTTACCTTCCCACCGAAGTGGTACCTATTTATCTACTTGCAATTTCTTGCTTTCGAACTGCTAGGTTGGCAGGAGCTGGAACTAGAGACGGGAGCTCACTCCGTCATGCGGCACACTCGGGTCTTGAACTGCTGAACTACCAACCTTCCACAGCCTGCAGTTCAGCGTCTTAACCTGCTTTGTAGGCCATAAAATGTAGAACGCCACCTGTTGACTGAGGTGGGATTGGAGGGGGAGGCAGCTTGGCCCCACTTGTGCTGATTTGAAATCGGTCCGCTGCTGTTTCACTGGACTAGAAATGAGTTGCACGTTATGTCGAACGGAGGTCGCACAGCATCAGATTGACAGTATTTTAGTAGGATGGTATTTCAGCATGACAGGCCAATATGAAATACCACTACCAGTATGACACAGCTAACTTATCTCAGTGTTTCTATAATTTTTCTTTGTTTCTTTCCCGTGATTCTTTCCTTGGTATAGAGTCTGAAACAAAGCATAAGTATTAACAAGTCACGCTAGGGAGGCAAAAGATTACAGTAAGCTATACCTAGTAGCAGTGCTCCCTCTAAGCTGTGGAGTCTTGGTGAGCAAAAATTCTACTTTGTGGGCTGCTGGCATTAAAGTCGTAAGCAAGCGATTTGGCGGCTGCGTAAATCAGTTTGCTCTGTAGCCATCCTTCCCAAGCTAAGACAAACGTGTGAGCCAGAGGCTAAAATACTGTGAGCTAGCTCACACTAACTCAGCTTAGAGGCAACACTGCCTAGTGGTATAAACCACAGTCCTTAATAATTTATCCCTGTTTTCTCATTCTTGCTGCCACAAAACCTAATCTTAAACTCTTCACAGGTTCTTGTCATTTTTTTGCAGCTATTACAAAAGTATTGTGTATAAATAAAGATGGGGTAACCCTGGTTGTCATCACAACAAAAAGCTAACCTCTACCTCTCACCTAAATAAGCTTTATATTTCTACTGTGAATTGCCAAGAGGCACTTAAAACAAACAGACTGCTGAAAATACAAGGCACCATAATGCAATTTCTAGGTGCCAAATCAACTTGGGATTTGTTGATCCCTGCAGCAGACAGTTCTGAGCAAGATGGACCAATGGTCAATATAAGGCAATTTATTTCTCGAGACACACAATTACCCCTCATAGTGAGGCACCTGAATATATATGAGGCTTTATATGGACCACTGCTCCATATTACAGGGGTGGTGGCTCAGTGGATGAGCATCTGCTTGTCATGCAGAAGGTCTCAGGTTCAATCCCCAGCATCTCTAGTTCAAAGGATCAGGTAGGAAGTGATGTGAAAGACCTCTACCTGAGACCCTGGAGAGCTGCTGCCAGTCTGAGTAGACACTACTGATTTTGATGGACCCAGGGTCTGGTTCAGTGTAAGGCAGCTTCATGTGTTCATGTGTGTTCTTCTACCTCAGCGGTCTTCAACCTTTCCAGACTCAGGACTCCACTCTGCATGGGAGCTGAGAGCATGTGACATCAGAGCCATGTGACAGGAAGTCAAGGAGCTGGAATTATAATAGTGATGTGAAAGCCAGGACTGTGGGCAACAGACCAAGAATATTATGATCAGTAAACACAACAGGAGGTGTACCATAGGAAGGGACAAGTCCAAGGGGCAGAGCCATAGGGGAATCCTCTCCACTGCTGAGTGACATTACCTTGTGGTTCTGCGACTCTGTTCCGCAAAGAGAGAGGTGGCACCCTTGCCGTCTACAAATGTGCAGTAGCAGCAAGTCCTTCCAAAAAGTTGCCAAAAAAGGTGACTTGGTTATCAGTCTGTGAGAAGTATGTGGTCCACCTGAATGTCCCCAATCATGGGTTGGAGACCACTGGCCCTACCTCCATAGTACCTCCTCTGGTTTGGGCTAACTGAGCTCCTCTAAGTGGAAATTCCAGGAGCTGGCCCAGATGCCTTCTTCATGCTTTTGTGCTGTGTTTTCTTCGTGGCCGGTAGGCCGGTTTCTGGGATGCAATCAGAGATAGAGAGTCAAACGGATGAGAACGGTCTGGAGGTCTAGAAAAACTTGAATTTGGGGATTTCTTTGGAGTCTTGCCGCACAGTCCCCATAGCCATCAATGCTTTAGCAGGAGACATATGTGAATGAAAGTGTGAAACAGGGTCAGAAAGATCCAGCAGCAAACCACCTGATGCCCTTCGAAAGCCCACCTGTTGAAGTGAGAGACTTAGGTTCAATATTCACTTGACCTGAACTTCTCCTCCTCTTGCATCTCTTTCCTACTCAGGGTTTCCTGGTGTGATCATAAAAGTAGAACCAGAAGAGGAACCCTGGGTCTCGGACCTCCAGGCTGAGGGGACGGCGACTGTGTTGGGTGCCCAGTCAGGTGAGAGCTGAGTTGGGCTGGACTCCTGTCCCGGTCCTCAGTTGCTTTTTTATTTTATTTATTTATGTTATCCATAGTACTCCTTTCTCACAGTCTGTCAAAGTGGCTTACAAGTAGTGAGTCAGTACAATCAACAAAAGGGGACATTCATAAACCAATGCAGTAGGATTTTAGAAATTTGGAACCACCAGAAAGAACCGGAGCATAGCACGAGTATCAACATGACCCCACAACAGTACAGAGATTACGGTTCTAGGGGAAAAGCCCACAGAAAAAAAACCCACGGTCATAAATGCTCACAAGAAGAAAGCCCACATGGAAAATTGCCCACACGGAAAGAAGCCCTTACAGAAAAATGCCCACGTGGGAAAAAAGCCCACATGGAAAAATACCATTTTTTAATTAATTACAAGTACAAATTCAATTTTTTTATTAATCACAACTATGTTTATTGATTTCTCCCTTCCAAATACCCCTACGTGCCAAATTGTATTCTCCCGATTGTAATAGTCAGTTACTTGACTTAAGCCAGGGTACATGAGTGGGTGGGGGGGTTTTAGGAAAGGAGGCCCTGAACACTGAACTTGCCCTGATTTCCAACTCCTGGGTTACCTTATAGCTTTATTTTTTTCCTCATAGTGCAAACAATGGAGTTTTCGAGAAGCCAGAAGAACAACAAAGTTATGACTTACTTGGGGTTTGAATATCTCTCTTTTCGCACTCTCAATGGAGTGGTGACTTGGAGATGCAGACAGAATCGCTCCATAAAGTGCCATTCGATTATAAAAACAAAAGATGGCAACGTAGTTCAGGAACCGACAGAACATTGTCATGACTCCTGTCCTCAAAAAGCAGCAGCTAACGTTGCCAGAAGCAGAATGAGGCAAGACATGAGAGCAGCAAGTGCTACTCCTCACAGTGTGATGGGAAATGTGTTGTCAGGGCTAAATAATGATATTTTGGCCCATATGCCCAGACAATCATCCCTTGCGAGAAGCCTTCACTATCACAGAACAGGCAGTAATTTGCCTAACCCAGAAACCATCAATTCTGACATTCCTGAGAAGTATAGGCAACTGATACTTTACGATTCCAGTGTGGAAAATCCAGACAGAATTCTGGTTTTAGGCGATAGAGATCTTATGCTCGAATTAAACAAAGACACCATCTATGGAGATGGCACCTTTGATGAAACGCCAAATATGTTTTACCAGCTGTACACATGGCATGCCAAGGTGGGTAATTCATATCCACCATGTATTTACATTTTACTTCAGAAGAAGAACATGGACACCTATAATAGAATGTTTGAAATAATGAAACTATTGATTCCAGACCTGGCACCTCAAAAGGTGTTGGTCGATTTTGAGAAGGCTTGTATGAATGCAGCGAGGATTGCCTTTCCACACGCTGAGGTCAAAGGGTGTTATTTTCACCTGTGTCAGAGCCTCATTAGGAAGATCAACAGTATTGGCTTGAAGACTGAATATGAAACTAATGTGAACATAAAAATTACACTGAAATCTCTTGCTGCGTTAGCCTTTGTCCCAGTCAGTGATGTGAGAACTGTTTTTGATGAGCTGGCTGCCACGTTTCCAGATGAAGACCGCTACAATGAGGTGCTCACGTACTTCTTTTCGACATATATTGAGGGCGCAGCAGGCAGAGCTCCTAAGTTTCCTATAAGAACATGGAATCACCATGATGCGGCCCTGGAATGGTCGCCAAAAACTACAAACTGTTGTGAGGGATTCCACAGTGCTCTCAATTCCCTATTCCACTGCAGTCAACCCAGTGTGTGGTCTCTATTTGACGGACTGCAGAGGGACCTGGCTTGCCACAAACTAACACTGGCTAGTGCACAGACAGGTTGCCTAGAGGTGAAAAAGAGGAAATACGAGGCACTGCATGACATGGTTGCCACTTCTGTGAAGCAATATGAGCAGGTGGAAGATAAACTTAATTACTTAAGGAAATTGGCTAGTTTGCAATGAAGAATGATACCTGAGTTATTATTATTAAATTATTGTTATTGTTGTTATTAAATGTTGTTAAATAATTGTTGCTTTTACTATTAGGGTTAAATAGTCTATTGTCGTGGTCACTGGGTGTACCACACTATATTTGTTAAAATACAAGTAAAGGGAAATCGAGCTAGAAAATTGACTTATTTTAATATTATCTTATGGTCTTGCAATCTCGTGGTTTTAATTTTTAACAAAATAAGTAAATAATATTAATTATTTGAAGAATTTTAATCCATATAGTTGTTCAAAAGCTGTGTCTACTAGACAGTCTATACATAATTTAATTTAACATCTCTCTGTCTTTACTTTAGAGATTACTTCATACCAACATTACAAAGGTTGACAAATGGTAAATTAATAAACTTAAAGTATTTAATTTTATTTAAAAATGAGCTTTAAAAAAAAGTTTAACGTTTTTAAAAAGTTTTTAAAGTTTTTAAAGTTAAAAATGAAACTATATAGAGTTTAATTTCTGTTGTTATTGTTTTTCCTTCTTAATAAAGTTTGTTGATAACAAAATGGTCACTTTTATTTCCTGTATTTTCCCTTCCAAGCCTTTATACTCAAGAGCATTAAAGCCCTCTTCATACAGGCCACTTTTGTATAGTAATGAAGTAATTTACTAATAACATTGCAAAATTATTATTTAATTATACTTGATAAAATCACAGCACGAATTGTTGCATGTGAATATGACATGTCTTAATCTTAAAATAACAGGATAAAATATACGTAATAACCCATTAATTCTTTCCGTGTGGGCTTTTTTCTCTGGGCGTTTTTCTGTATGGGCTTTTTTCTGTGTGGGCAGTTTTCCATGTGGGCTTTTTTTCCTGTGAGCGTTTATGACTGTGGGTTTTTCCCCGTGGGCTTTTTTTTTGTCACCTCACCAGGCTGTCCAATTCAGAATGAAAGGACACCAGTCGTGTATACCCTGTACAGGAGACGTAGGAACAAGAATGCAGGTTTTATCTCCTCCAGCGTGTGTTTATCCAATTGCAGACGCAGTGCCCATGTCTATAAGTTAATGTGAATTCATTAGCTCCATCCTCATAGCTGAGAACAAATGTTCTTGATGCACATATGGCTTGTACAAACTGTTTGCCCACAGCTGGGTGAATTAAAGTAGGAGGGGATGGAGTTAGCATGCTTGTAATAGAAGAAGAGGAGACTGGATTCATACTCCGCCTTTCACTACCCGAAGGAGTCTCAGAGCGGCTTGCGATCTCCTTTCCCTTCCCCTCCCCACAACAGACAGTCTGTGAGGTAGGTGGGGCTGAGAGAGCTCTTGACAGAAACTGCTCTTTTTCAAGAACAGCTCTTATCAGAACTATGGCTGGCCCGAGGTCATCCAGCCAGGTGGAAGTGGAGGAGTGGGGAATCAAACCCGGTTCTCCCAGATTAGAGTCCACCGCTCTTAACCACTAAACCAAACTGGCTCTCTCCAGTTTGGATTTGGGCATGTGTAAATCACATGAGACACATGCTCACACATATAGATTAAAAACAGAAGAGAGTCGGCATGTTGGACTGGCGCTGAGGGAGACCAGCTATCAGATCTCCACTCGGCCTTGATGCCTTGTTGGGTGACCCTGGATTGTTCCCTTAGCTTCAGCTACTCACAGCGTTGTTGTAAAGTCAAAATATTGGGAGAGGAGAACAGTGGCCCCGGTCACAAGGCAAAGTTGCCGGGGGAGAGGCACGGAAGGTGGGCAGATTATCCGGCCGCGATCACACCCCAACATCTGGGAAGTGGAGCGCACCCGTGGCTTACCTCCGACAATGCGCATTTAAAAACTAGTACCTCCAAGGTACTAGTAAATGTTTGCCACGGGCTGCCTCCAGACGCCCGTGGTGTGATCGCGCCGGCGCGCGGCATTCCCCTCTGGTCCTTCGTTTACCCGCTGGCGCCGAGGGAAGGACCTGTGCTGTGCTGCCGGCGCGTCTGATCGCCTAATCGCGGATCAAACTGCGCCAGGGCAATTAGCCATGCCCCCCGCGCGATATCCGGACCGTGTGCCCGGGGCCCATGTATGCTTTCCTTAGCTCTTTGGAGGGAGGGTGGGACAGAAAAGTATGGGCAGCTTCTTCCTCCCCTCCCTCTTGTCATTGTGTGAGTTTGCAAAGCTGTTCATCTCTGCACGACTGACTCTTTTGATCCTGTACGATTTGGCATCCTGGTGTCGTAAGATCCCTCACTTTTGCCTGGGGTTTTGCCAGTTTCACAGTTCTCTGTTCCTTCCCACAGGGAATGAGTGTGTAAAAGAAGAGGAAGAGGAGAACTTTCTGCTGGGAAACACTAAACACGACAAAACGACGCTCGCGGTGGCCAAAGGGGGCGTGTTCCGTTATCTGGGGAAGTCAGATCAATACAGGTCAGAAAAGCAGCTGGGAAATTACCCTGGGAAGAGAGTTGGAAAGAAACCCTACAAAAGTTCCTATTATGGCAAAATCTTCATTTGGAGAAAATACTTTCTCACTCAGGAGAAGGCTCATACAGGGGAGAAACCGTACAAATGTTCCAGTTGCGGGAAAACCTTCAACGTGAGATCCTACCTCCTTGCCCATGAGAGAACCCACACAGGGGAGAAGCCGCACAAGTGTTCGCTTTGTGGGAAAGGCTTCAATGTGAGGTCGTACCTGATCGCTCACTGGAGAACCCACACGGGAGAGAAGCCCCACATCTGCTCGTTCTGTGGGAAAAGCTTCAGTGGGCGGTCGAACCTGAACAGGCACCAAAGGAGCCACACGGGGGAGAAGCCATACACGTGCGCTGTCTGTGGGAGAAGCTTCAGTCACAAAGCTCACATGATCAGGCACGAGCGGATCCACACAGGGGAGAAACCCTACAAGTGCTCGCAGTGTCTGAAGAGCTTCAGCCAGAGCTCGACCCTCATCGCCCACGAGAGGACCCACACGGAAAAGCCGTACAAGTGCTCGCACTGCGAGAAGAGCTTCAGCCAGAGCTCTAAACTGGCCGCCCACGAGAGAACCCACACGGGAGAGAAACCCTATGAGTGCCCCTCCTGCGGGAAAGGCTTCAATCATCGGTCCGATTACATCATCCACGAGAGAACCCATACGGGAGACAAACCGTACCCATGTTCCATCTGCGGGAAAGGCTTCAGCGGAAGGTCCAACCTGACGAGACACGAAAGAAGCCACACGGGAGAGAAGCCGTACCTCTGCTCACTCTGCGGGAAGGGCTTCTGCCACAAGGCCCACCTTCTCCGACACGAGAAAATCCACACGGGGGAGAAGCCGTACAAATGCGCGGCTTGTGGTGAGAGCTTCAAGCATCGGACCGACCTCATCGGCCATGAGCGGAGTCATTCGGGGGTCAAACAGTACACCTGTGCAGCCTGCGGGAAGAGCTTCAGCGGAAAATCTAACCTGAACAGGCACAAAAGGAGCCACACGGGTGAAAAACCTTACTCCTGCCTGGTGTGCGGCAGAAGCTTCAGTCACAAGGCACACCTGATCAGGCACGAGAGGATCCATACAGGAGAGAAACCATATAAGTGTTCGCACTGTCTGAAAAGCTTCAACCAGAGCTCCACCCTTGTTGCCCACGAGAGGACCCACAGGGGGGAGAATTCATACAAATCCTGAGACTGGAAAATATGATCTGCTTGGGAATATTGACGCAAACTGCACGGATTTTTTTAAAAGCATTGCCTCGGGAGTCTTTAGGCAAAGAGTGTGATTATTTTTAAAGATGCTTCTAATACTATTAGGAGAAAACAGTGTAAAAATGGTCAGAGTATTGGGGCGGGCAGGTTACAAATCAAACTCCGGATTTTCTACGATCTCTGAAAATTCGCTCAGGAGCAAAAAAACCAGCCAGCCATCCCTTTGTGTCCTTATTGCTTTGAGAGAGAAACAAAAAATTCACAGACTAAGGTGCAAATGTTGTCACCTAGTTGCACAGGGGCTGTAGCTTAGGACAGTAGTCAGGACAGTAGGCAGATCATGAGAGGGAGGGCAGGAAGGGTTGCATCCGTGCTTAGTTCTTGTGGCTGATTGCCACTTTGGGGTCAGGAAGCAATTGTTCTCCAGGCCAGTTTAGCTGCAGATCCCGGAGGGTTTTTTTTTTATCATCTTCTGGGCATGGAACTGTGGTCACTGGGGGTGTGGGGGAGAGGTATTTGTGAATTTCCTGCATTGTGCAGGGGGTTGGACTAGAGGACCCTGGAGGTCCCTTCCAACTCTGTGATTCAATGACATTCAGGTGGGTGATGGAGACCTGCTGGGTCATGAGCCCCTTTAAAGCAGCTGTTTCTGTTTTGTTGTTCTTTGGAAGGGCCCACTGCCAGTGGGCATTGCATCTCCTGCCTTTCTTGATGGTGGCAGGAGGCCACATGGTGACAGAGCAGATTCATTTTAACATAGGGAGGTCAAGAGATATCCTTCCCCATAAAAGGTGTCCCTCGTTCTCCCAGTCGGGCCGCCACTCAGTCCACCCACGCTTTACGTGCACTTGAAGTGTGCATTTCCGTTCCCCACTAGCGAAGTTGTCACTCGGACCTCTCCCCTTCCTGCAGCATGACTGAAGTCACAACACTTCCTGTCTGGTGCTTGTAGTTCGATAGGCCCTGTTCTGCTGCCTGGACATTAAAGGTGGGTCTGGAAAGTATGAAGACCACAGGCCCAGAGGGACCATGGCTTAGTGGTAGAGCATCTGCTTTGCATGTGAAAGTCCTCCATTTCAGACATTGTGTACCTTCTGTTAAAGGAAATGGCCAGGCCATTTATGGTATTTACATATGTTAGATTTACATATGTTAGATCAGGCCAGTGGCCCATCGAGTCCAACACTCTGTGTCACACGGTGGCTAAAACCCAGGTGCCATCAGGAGGTCCACCAGTGGGGCCAGAACTCCAGAAGCCCTCCCACTGTTACCCCCCAAGCACCTAGAATACAGAGCATCACTGCCCCAGACATAGTGTTCCCACTGTAATAGCCACTGATGGACTTCTGCTCTATAAGTTTATCCTGTCCCCTCTTGAAGCTGTCTGTGCTTGTAGCCACCACCACTTCTTGTGGCAGTTCTTGGAGATCCACTTTTGGTTGGATGAGACAGGATTGTACTACAGAGACTTGACTCAGTAAAAGGCAGCTTTGTATGAAACCAGCCTTCAGACTTCTCAGCACGAGGAAGACATGGAGTCCTAATTAATCAGTGACACAGAAACCCACCCACAATAAAGAATTAACCAATGGTCTGGTGGCCATAGCCAACAGAACGTCCCTATGCAAAGGCAGTATACCTTTGGAGAAAATACTCCCAAGTTTGTTTTTAAAGGCCCAGTCCATTTCCCCTTTTTATCCTCCTGCTCCACACGCTACTGTATGTATGACAGCTTCCTGTCACCTCTGCCCGTCGCCACCAGCAGCTCTTGGTTGAAAGGGAGAGGCTGTGGCTCAGAGGTAGAAGATCTGCTTGGCATGCAGGAGGTCCCAGGTTCAACTCCCCGGCATCTCTACTTAAAAAGGCCAGGCAGTGTGTGATGTGAAAGACCTCTGCCTGAGACCCCGGAGAGCTGGTGCTGGTCTGAGTAGACAATGCTGACTTTGAGGGATCAAAGGTCTGATTCAGTATAAGGCAGCTTCTTACGTTTATTTGAGAGGAGAACTGCACTCACAAAGACAACTGCCTGTGTGTGGCTCTGTCTGGATTTATTTATTTATACCCACCTATTCCCCCCCCCCATATGGAGGCCCCATATGGAGGCCCACTGATTATATCATTCCTCCATTTTATTCTCACCACAACTCTGTGAGGAAGGTTAGGCTGAGACTGGCCCCTGTTCACCTCCATATATATAGAGTGATGCAATTTGTATTGGGGGCTGCAATCTTACATTTGTGCAAGGGTGGATTTGGCCTCCAGGTGACTGGTTATCAGTGTTGTTGAAAATCAGGCTTTTGTATTATCAGACACACCAACTTGATCTGCTAGACTTGGTGAAAAGAAAATTGAAATTTTCAGATATGGGTGCAAATTTAGTTTATGAGTTACCACTTGAACAGAAATGTCTTGGGTTTTGTTCCTAACTTAATAGATTATTGCTTAGCCATAAAAAAGTACTCATGTTTGCGTATCAAAAGCAAGAATGATAGTGTTACAGATAATAAAACTTGTCATTATACAGTTTATATTAATAATGGCCTGTATGGTCAAATTGAGCCTGAAGAAGGTAAAATGACGAAACGGAGGCTGTTTTGCTTTGGTCACATCATGAGAAAACTCGACTCACCGGAAAAGACGATAATGCTAGGAAAAACTGAAGGCAGCAGGAAAAGAGGAAGACCCAACATGAGGTGGAGGGACTGAATTAAGGAAGCCACGAGGGCTCTCAGTTCGCAAGACCTGAGCAAAGCTCTTACTGATAGCCCATTTTAGAGGACACTGATTCCAAGGGCTGCAGAAGTCAAAAGTTCGATAGGCCCTGTTATCTAGAATTAAGCCCCTTTCTAATAGCACTGATTAACTTTTTAAAAGAGTACTATGAACTTAAGTTGCCAGGATAGCAAAGAGAGCAGCATTTTCAGTAATTAATGTGTCTGTTTAACGTTCTTACTTAAGAGTGATGCTGTTTTCTTCAGAAAAGACCAGCTTTCAGTGTTCAGTTTAACAATTGCCTTCTACTCATTAGAACTATGGACCTGCGGTGGCTCAAGTGGTTAAGACGCTGAACTGCAGGCTGTGGAAGGTTAGTAGTTCAGCAGTTCAAGACCCGAGTTGGCTGCATGACGGAGTGAGCTCCCGTCTCTAGTTCCAGCTCCTGCCAACCTAGCAGTTCAAAAGCAAGAAATTGCAAGTAGATAAATAGGTACCACTTCGGTGGGAAGGTAACAGCATTCCGTGCGCCTTGGTGTTTAGTCATGCCGGCCACATGACCACGGAAACGTCTTCGGACAGCGCTGGCTCTTCGGTGGGAAGGTAACAGCGTTTCGTGCGCCTTGGTGTTTAGTCATTCCGGCCACATGACCACGGAAACGTCTTCGGACAGCGCTGGCTCTTCGGCTTGGAAAGGGAGATGAGCACTGCAACCCTAGAGTCGGATTTGACTGGCTTTCGAGCAAGGGAACCTTTACCTTTTACATTAGAACTACAGACATTGACGGAGTCTGTGCTCGGTTTGTGCAAACAAGTCCTTTAAATCTGGCTCTGTCCCAATACTGATGGATCTTGAACTTTAAAAAAAAATGATATAAAACATGATGTTGCTCTGTGTTCTTATCAGCACATGTCTGTACTATAAGATCTTGAATTGGGTGAATCTTATTTTTTTAAGATTCACGTTGCTGTATTGCTGTCATAAGAAATGTTTTGTATGCCCGGATCTGATGGAGAAAAATACATTAAAGAGAGTTTTTCCTTCTAGAAATATAGCATTTATTTATTACATCAGAAGGTACAGGTGGACAATCAAGCTGATCATGTTTTGCATTGTCCCTCTGCCTCCTGACTCCAACTGACCCTTCTTGCTAATAGCTGGCCCACCTTCTGAGTGCTTTATTAGGGCTGATGGATCCTCATTCCCATCTGTATCTGACAAAATGAGCTTTGACTAATGGATGCTTATACTCTAAAAGCCCAGCAGGAACTCATTAGCATAATAGCCCACACCCAACAGCAGAAACTCATTAGCATATTAAGCCACACCCTGACAGCACATCTCATTAGCATATTAGGCCACACCCATGGCAGCACAGCTCATTAGCCTATTAGGCCACACCCCCATGTTACCAGAAGTGTGGTCATCCAGCCACACCCACCTTTTGCTTCTTATTTTCTTTACCTTGTTTGTTGTCAAAACCCAGGGCTTTTTTTGTTGCAGGAACTCCTTTGCATGTTAGGCCACAAACCCCTAATGTAGCCAATCCTAATGAGTTTCTGCTGTTGGGTGTGGCCTATTATGCTAATGAGTTCCTGCTGGGTGTGGCCAACTCGGGAGCCAGCCGGAACTCCGTTCCTGTGCGTTCCTGCCCCAAAATAGCCCTGCATCTGTATCTGACAAAATGAGCTTTGACTAATGGATGCTTATACTCTGGAGAATTTTGTTGGTCTTTAAAGTGCTGCTGGACTTGAATACTGGCAGGTATAATCATCAACATAACTGCTTTTCTTTGACACCAAGAGTGATTAAAATGTGGAATTCACTGCCAGAGGATGTAGTGATGGTCACATGAATAAATGGCTTTAAAAGGGGATTAGATAGATTCATGGACAATAGGTCTATCAGCGGCTACCAGCCATGGTGACTGAGGGGAACATCCAAATTCAGAGGCACTAAATCTCTGAATCCCAGAGTCAGGAGGGAACATCAGGATTGGGCCTTAGCCTCTATGACCTGTTGTTGACCCTTCAGAGGAACTGGCTGGCCACTATATGAGACAGGATGCTGGACTAAGTGGACCACTGGTCTGATCCAGCAGGGCTCTTCTTATGTATGAGGCTAAAAAACTGGGAGCCAGCTCACACTAACAGCTTAGAGGGAACACTGGCTGAAG